TCTTTTAATGACCAATTTATATTATTGCTATCATTAATTACTCTTTTCTTTTTTTTCATCTTTCATAAAACACTATAAAGAGCCCTTATGCTTCAACACAATCTCTCAAACTTTTTGTAACCCATTGTTGTTCCTTTAGTAGTATTATGTTTTTCATTTTTTACTCAGCATATGTGTGTAATTGTCACTCCTATACTATTGTTATTTTCGATTGATTGCTTTCAATTGGATAAATTCTTTCTAATCTATTAAATATTACATGTTTATTTTTTGCCAGATGAATATGATGTCAATCTGTGAAGATGAATATGATGTCAATCTATGAATCTGAGAAATTTACAAGAGGCCATTTATTGGTTTCAAGGGATTTGAATCATGTCGTTTGCTTACAGACTTAAATCATTTTATTGCGTTTGTATACTTTTCTGCACGTTCGTAATTACAGTATATAGTAAATATTATAAATTTTCTAATTATATGTTCTCCGTATATTAAATTATCATTTCTAATGTTTAGGATTGGAAATAGAGTTGCAAGAAGTCAAAAAACAATACAGTTGGTTGCACGTGGATTAAGAATGGACAATACACCAGCTATATTGGTGGACGAGGATTCTCAAACATTAAGAGATATTACATCGAACAGTGGATGTAACTATTTTTTTTTTTAAATCACACACGGTTGACGAAATAGGTTGTGCGTTGGCAAAAAAACGAGACTTCACTGAGTGATGAAAAAATGATTTTTATTTACGGATTCTGAATATGTTTCCAACGACGACAAAAACGACGATTCAATTGATTATGATGGTATTAACGTTTCATACTCTTTAAAACAAAAAACCTTATTATTATATTGTTCATCCATATTATTCCAAATTCTTTTGTTTAGTTTGTTCGGTTTTTTTCTTTCTTTGTTTTAGTTTATTTATTTTGTTTGTTTAGTTCGTAATTTTTGGGTAATTATTGCTTCTTTTTTTTAGTATATATATTTTCTTCTAAGGTTTCATTCCGGCCTTTTTTCTCCCTTTCTACCGTTTTTCATCATCTGTTGTCAATTTCTTCTCGAGAAGTATGTATTGTATTTTTATAAAGATGCGAGGAAGATTAAATAAATAAAGTAATTTTATAAAATTAAAATTTATTAAAAATAATTAATTCGTAAATGAATCCAATAAAAAATAAAAATTTAGTTAATAATGCATTTTATTAACTAAATAATTCATTAAATACTTAATGGAATAATATTGAAATATATTACTTATATATATATATATACCATTTATTAAATTATTTATGACAATTTAAATATATTTCATTCCATTAATTGACATATTACTATTCCATTAATATCTGTATAATTTTTTAAGATTAAGTATCTAAAAAGACAACTCATACTACATTTTATTCCATTAATTGACATATTACCATTTTTATTATATGATTATGCATTATAAATAAATTATGTAAAATTATAAAACATTATATTACTATATGATTAGTGATG